TCCCCTCCCCTTCCCGTTTCCTTCCTCTTCCCCTTCCTTCCCCTCCTCTCCTCTCCTCTCCTTTTCTTTTCTTTCTCTCTCTCTCTCTTTTTTTAAATCACTTCCCTGTTTTCCAGCCATCTGTTGCAGTGAAGACTTCTGTGCCAGAGTTCCTGGTGTCTGAGCTCTCTTCACAGAGCATGGTCAATTTGTGCATGTGTGTGGCAGTATGTATTATCTGGGATTTGTATATTTGCAGATGACCCTTGGAGATCCCTATGAAAGCTAGGGGTTTCTGATTTCTATATATTGCTTATGTTCTCTGCAGTAGCCTACTCTCTTAGTCTGTTTTGTGAATGTTAAGGTCCATGAACCCAGAGGTGATTTCTTTTATGCTGATATTGAGACCTACTGAAATTTTTGATGGGGGTTCATCTATATCTGACAAGATTTAAGAAGAAAAGACTTGGGTTTGGTTTGGTGAAGAGTGCAGGCTGCTTTTCTGCCTTCCATAGATCTTCTCAAACCTTCCTTAAGCTCAATTACCTCTTGAACCATTCAAACAGGTCCTTAACCTTCCCTCTATTTGCTTTAAAATCTGTAAAGCCTCATCTTCTCTTTTTCATTAGAAGACAGGTTTTCTAGAAGACCTGCTGTTGGCTTTTCATGGCTCTTTTTGCTTCTTTCCTATGCCCTGCTCAGTTAAGGATTCCCACTTCTATGTGAATCTTCAAACTTTCCCTCTTCATTGTCCTTACTTTCCTCAACAAATGTGCATCTTATCTTCTTTCCTGAAAAAATCCCCCCAATTCTTTTACCCCCTCAAGTGGCCACTCTGCTAATTAGTCACTTGCTGAGAATCACCCACCACCACCTCATGACCCCTTACAATCCTCTTCTGCTCCCCCATTCTGTTCAAATGTGTTTCTAAAGGACACACAGGAGTTCCTAATTCCTAAATGTGATGTTATCCTCAGCCCGCATCTTCTTTTTAAGTTTATTTATTTATTTAAGCAATACTCTACACCCAGTGTAGGGCTCGAACACACGACCCCAAGATCAAGAGCCGCAAGCTCTTCCGACTGAGCCAGCCAGGCACCCCATCAGCCCTCATCTTATGTCTCTACGGTATTTGCTTCTCTTCATAATAAGTGATTTCTTTTAAAAATATACTGATTAACAATACTTTTACAAAAGTAAAACCTGATCTTGATAGAAGATTTTAAAAAAAGGAAAATGAGCACCACTCATAATTGCCAATTATGAGTCCCGTGATGCTGTACTAGGTTCTCCTCCCCGCTCTGCTGAAGTCCTGTGATGCTGTACTAGGTTCTCCTCCCCGCTCTGCTGCTCCTCTTATGTCTTCCTCATACCTGCTCATCCTCCTGCCCCCTGGCTCTTTCCTTAGCCAGCCGTCTTCTTTGTCAGGGATTCATCTGCTCCTTTTTCTTTTGTGTTTACATCTGTTCACATAGCTTCATTTATGACCTTCACGCGAGTAATCAATCATCAGAACTTTGACCTTCCTCAGAACTCCAAACCTCTCTTTTCTTCCACTTTGGGCATCGCCACCGGATAGTACCATGAACATTTCAAATTTAGTGAGTTCTAAATGGATGTCTTTTCCCCTCTTCCTTTCCCTCCACCAACCCCCTTCACTGCTCAGTTGGATCTATTTCTTCTATTATTTATATCCAGTAAATCAGGCTTACCACCTCTGAGATAATTTTCACTCCCCATCTCTGCTGAGCCCTTGAACCTAATTAGCAGCTTGTCTTCAATTGCTACCTCTGCAGTATCTCTATTGTCTGTCCCCTTCTTCCCATTCCTGTGGATTCTAGTTTAGATTAGACTGCCCTCCTCTCTCACTGGGACTGCTAAAATTTCTTCTTCACCACTTGCTCCATTACACTTTCCCCTCCCTCCCTCAAAACTACCATTACCAGAATCATCTCCTGAAGGCATAATTAACCATTCCACCCACTCTCTCACTTCCTCTCAGTGTCTAGAAATGAAGCTTGGGTCCCTAAACCTGGCATTCACAAACCTCTACAATATGGCAATAATTTTATCTTTCTCTGTGTCTATTCTAGTAAAATACAATTTTGTAGCAAAATCTGGATGAACCTTGTTCCCAACATACCTGGAGCTTCCTCCCTGACATACTGAAATGTGCTCTCTTATCCCCCCATCTACCAGTGAAAATCCTATATAATTTTCCCCCCTATTTAACTTTTAAAGGTTAATCCAAATGGCTTCTCTTTAGGGAAGCTTTTCTGGTTTGCTACCCCCCAAGCTTTGCTCTCTCTGACCTTTGAAGACATATAAATGGGGTGTTCCTCAGTCATGAGATGAATTCTGTTTTTTTTTTTTTTAAAGATTTTTATTTATTTATTCATGAGAGACAGAGAGAGAGAGAGGCAGAGGGAGAAGCAGGCTCCCAAGGAGCAGAGAGCCCGATGCGGGACTCGATCCCAGGACCCTGGGATCATGACCTGAGCCGAAGGCAGACGCTTAACCATCTGAGCCACCCAGGCGCCCATGAATTCTGTTTTGTGGTGGAATGATCTATATTCATGTTTTATTCTGCCTAGTATATTTTTTAATTCTTTTTAAAGGATTTTATTTATTTATTTTAGAGAGAGTGAGTGCGAGTGGGAAGGGCAGAAGGAGAGGGAGAGGCAGAGAATCCCAAGCAGACTCTGTGCTGAGCATGGCGCTGGACATGGGGCTCAATCTTATGACCCTGACATCATGACCTGAGCTGAAACCAAGGGTCAGATGCTTAAGTGCATGAGCCACCCAGGCACCCCTTCCTAGTATATTTTAAAGTATTTGAAAGCATTGGCTGCCTTGTATTCTTCTATGTGTCCCCTGAAGCACTTGTAAATACTTGATACATTGAGCAGAGTAATTCTACGGCACCTGGAACTCAGCCATAAGCACATGGACTTTTGTCTGTATATTTATTTCCAGGCTACCTACTACATTTTTAAGCTGATGTTTGAGCTGTATTTCCTTTGCTAACTGGCCAGCTTATTTTTGGAGGTCAAACTTATATTCTGTTTCTCTTTGACTAATGCTCAATGTAGAAATAATAAATGAGTAAGTGAGAGAGTAAGATATGCCTGATTTTGTGATGGCTTTACCTTGCTTCTTTCTTGTTCATTTACATGTTGCTAAGCAACTGTGAATGACAAGCTTAGCTCCTTCCTATGGGAATCTCAGTGAAGTGCCACTTCTCTTTGTTACTGACCCAGTCTCTCTTTCCAAAGCATCCTGTATAAGCTAATCTTTGTTTCTTCCTCTTTTCACATTTTTAGCCTAGGAGAACAGAACATCTACTAGAATCTGAATGATCTCCCCACAGGGACTAGTTCTCCTGGAGCTTGAACACACAGGGAAGCATAGAAGAGTAGCAGGGTTTGTTATATTTTTAAAATGCATAGTTAACTTATTATTATTATTAACTTGCCTGTAGTCTAATTTCATCATGCATTATGATGATATTAATAATAATTATGAATGCCTATTTTATGTGAGGCATAGGATTAGGAAATTTATTTACTTATATCCCTTATATATTTAATTCTGAAAACAACACTGCAAAGTAGAAACTGAGGCTTAGAGAAGTTTACTGAGGTCTCATGGCCAGTGAATGATGGAAGTAGAATACCTTAGTGCTATAGCCTTTAAGACAGTATGGTATTGATGCAGGGATGGATAAATGCATCAATACATAGTCCAGATAATAGTTACATGGAAAATTATATATGATAAGTAAGGCATCTTAAATCAGTGAGGGAAAAAATGGTCATTTCATAGTGTTGCAGTATATTGATACTACAGTTGGAAAAACAAAAATATAGTTAGAGCCAATATTTTACCCTAAATTGCAGATAGATTATTTTAGTCTGAATGTTATTTAATTTTTTAAAGCCTCCCTTTTTTTGATAACTCAGTTTTTCCTATATTTTGTTTCATGAAATATTGCCTTTAAATGTCA